AACCACCTGAGCTTTAGGGATCACCCTAGACTGGGTACCCCGGGGACGCCTGAACTTTGGAGCTTTGGGGACCACCTGAACTGGGCTTTGGGGACCACCTGAACTTTAGGCACAGGGGACCACCTGGACTTGGCTGGGGACCACCTGAACTTTGGGCACCCCAGGGGACCCACTGAACTTGTTTTGGGCGCGGGACCTGGACTGGGCTTTGGGGATTTGGGGACCACTGGACTGCCCCAGGGGGACCATGGACTGGTTTGGGGGACCTGTTCCATTTTGGGGACCACCTGAGACTTTTGGGGTGGCACCATTTTGGTCCTGGGTTTGGCCTTTGGGACCTGAACTTTATTTGGGGACCAGTTTTGGGACCAGGTGCCTGGGCTTAGGCACCCCAGGGGACCCACTGTTTAGGCACCCAGGGGATCTGCACCTGAGCTTTTGGAGGCACTGGCTGCATTTTGGGGACCACCTGAACTTGGCACTGAGGTTGGACCCTGGACTTTGGGCCCCAGGGGGACCAACTGGCTTTGGTTTGGGTGTTTAGGCACCCCAGGACCACCTGAACTTTGGGCACTTGGGTGGTGGCCCAGGGGACCACTGGACTGTTTTGGGGACTGCACAGACTTTATTGGGACCCTGTTCATTTGGGGACCACAGACTTTAGGCACTGAGTTTGTAGGCTTTAGGACCAACTGAACTTTGTTTTTAGGGGATACTGGACTTTAGGCACCCCAGGGGATACTGAGACTGGCTTTAGGGGACCTGACTTTGGCACCCAGGACACTGAACTGGGCTTTGGGGACCCCTGAGTTTTTGGGCTTTTGAGGGTTACCTGGACTTTGGGCACCCCAGGGGACACTGACTTTAGGCACCCCAGGGGATACCTGAGACTTTGGGCACCCAGGGACCATGCCTGGACTTCATTTTGGGGACACCTGAACTGGGCACCCAGGGGACCAACTGAACTTTAGGCACCCAGGGGACCATGCCTGGACTTTGGGCACCCAGAGGGACCACTGACTTTGTTTTAAGGGGACACACAGACTAGGCACCCCAGGGGACCACCTGAACTTTAGGCACCCCAGGGGACCACCTGAACTTTAGGCACCCCAGGGGACCACCTGAACTTTAGGCACCCCAGGGGACCACCTGAACTTTAGGCACCCCAGGGTAGGGCAGGGCTTTTATAATAATAAACTCTTCATCAATATTAAAGATCCTGAAAAGTTATCAAATGTTCGTATATTTGGGAAATTAATTGATGAATTGACACCGCAATACACCAAGGGCTGCCACAAGATTCTCATTAAATTTCCTTTAATATTTAAGCATATATACGAACATTTGATAATTTTTCAGGATCTTTAATATTGATGAAGAGTTTATTATTATAAAAGCCCTACCTTTGAATTGTTTATCCTGACAGTAATACAGCCGAAAATATATCCACTAATCACAACCACTTTTACATACAGCCTTACTTCACCAAGTATTGCCAGGTAAAATTGCGAGCACGAGAGCCAAGGTGAGGTCAATGCATATTTGGTTGACTGTACATGGACCAGTCTGTCAAAAAGTCGCAAGTTGAGTTGTCGGTAATAATCCGCAGGTAATAAATTAATCTTGTGTTGCTGATACATTGATCTTTTTTTCTTTTCAGATAAATTCACCGCAAGTTCAACGCTGCCTCGACCGAACAGGTATAGTGCTGCACTTGTTTTTGTTTGTTGTTTTGTCGCCATGATTGTTTTTGTCATTGTTTTTATCATTATTGTTTTTGTCCACATTATTATTTTTGGTCAATGTTTTTTTTTTTTTTAGCCATCGTTGTTTTTGACGACACCATTATTTTTGCTTTTGTCATTTTTGTTGTTGTCACTCATTACTGTTACTCTTGCCTTTGTCGTAATGTTGTCGTCATCATTGCCACTAATAGCGTTAAGTAACTACAAACGTCTCCTATATCATCAATCCCGTTAGCAATGGGGAGGGGTAGAAGGACCAACGAGAAATGACCTTGATCTATGACTCTTTGGAATCCAGGTCACTGATAAGTTCAACCACCCAGAAACGAAACTTGTTCTGACTTTGATGGATGGAACTTGTTTTTTTTTCTTGGAGGGGGTGTGGTGGGGGGGAGAAAACTACGTCTCCAATCTCCCAGAACATAAACACATGAAAGAGTTACAAGTAAAACACAGACAGAATCTCACTCAGAAACGCGCGGGGTACGTAAAAAACAAATAAAGCCGTCAAAAGGCGCCAATACACTGGAATTTTGAGTCGGGGGAGGAAAAAAAAACAACAACAATACCTGTAAACCACATGGAGAAAAATATACACACAGGCAAGAATTGGACAGTTAAATGTTGATACGCCAGAGTGTTTTTTACCGTTGGGTCTTGGGAGTAAAATTTTCATGTATGTTGCTGTGTTTTTGGGTGTGGGGGTGTTGTGGGTGGGGTTGTATTTGTGTGGAGTTGTTGTGTGGGGTTGTGGGGTGTTGTGTTTGTGTGGAGGTGTTGTGTTGTGTGTGGAGGTGTTGTGTTTGTGTGGAGGTGTTGTGTTTGTGTGGGGGGTGTTGTGTTTGTGTGGTGTTGTGTTTGTGTGGGGTGTTGTGTTTGTGTGGGGTGTTGTGTTTGTGTGGGAGGTGTTGTGTTTGTGTGGGGGTGTAGGATTGGTGGTGTTGTTGTATCCGGGGTGTTGTGCTTGTGTGGCGGTAAAGTGTGTGGGTGTTGTGCTTGTGTGGGGGTGTTGCGTTTTGGAATGTGGGGGGGGAGGGTGTTTGTGTGTGGGGGTGTTGTGTGGATGTGTGGTAGTGTTTGTGCTTAATATTATTGCTACGTATTGCGAGTCCGTATCACTAGTATAACCTATTAACACCATACAGCTTGTTGTTGAAACCCAATATTTCGTGAATATCCAAATCACAGGATAAGGGATAATAGAATCACCTGTCCCTATCCTAACCTGTTTGTGATATGTGTTGCCAGGGATCGGGGTTCACGTGACAGATGCCTTGGGTTAATATCGGTGTTGTCCCTGCATGGTGTGTGTGTGTGTTTGTGTAGCGTGATGAGTTTAGGTCGTACTGTCTGGAGACTACTTCCTCTTGTGTACCGCTCCAAGATCACCACGGTGTAAAAGAGAGAGAGAGAGAGAGAGAGAGAGAGCTTGCATGGTCAGTCAAGCAGCCATATAAACGATGAGAAGGGAAGAGGAGGAAGAAGAGCAGGAGGAAGAGGAAGAGGAGGAAGAAGAGCAGGAGGAAGAGGAAAAAGTGAAGGGAAAGAGCAGCTGTAGGATTAGGAAGAGGAGGAGGGGAAGAAGGAAGAACGGGAGGAAGAGAAGGGGAAGAACAGCGGGAAGATTAGGAGGAGGAGAAAGAAGAGCAGGAGGGGAAAGTTGAAGAAAAACGTGAAGAGGAGGAGAACAGGTAAACGAAGAAGCAAACACGTTAGACAGTGGCAAGACAACACGGAAGAGAGACAGCAGAAAGGGACGCCGGACCACCTCTTCCGCAGTGGTCACCCGTGTGGAGGACGCAGAAACAGAAGTAAGGGAAGCGGCTCGGACGATAAGACTGAACGTACTGACAGACAGCTGACGAGTTAACAGTAGGAGAGACAACATCAACACCACCATCAGAAGTTAAAAGGAGAATGTAAAGAGATCCTCTCTCTCTCTCTCTCTCTCTCTCTCTCTCTCTCTCTCTCTCTCTCTGTCTCTGTCTCTGTCTCTGTCTCTGTCTCTCTCTCTCTCTCTCTCTCTCTCTCTCAGCTCTTGCCCTCTGACTCAGCAGGAGGAGGAAGCAGCTCGCAGCAGGAGGCACAGAAGGTGATGAGGACTTGGGTAATTGTGGAGCATCACCATCGACATGCATCCAGACGACCATAACACCTCGGCGGAACAGCTGATCCCACGCCACGACACAGTGCTGGACTCCCATTCCCTCCCACGCCACGACACGTTGTTGGTCTCCCTATACCTTCCCACGCCAGGACACACTCGGCGTCTCCTCCTCCCACGCCTCTTGTATTGATGTATCCTGTCCTCTTCTTCCCACGCCACGTCACAGCGAATTCTGCCACGCCTGGTATTTCCTGTTTTCTTCCTCCCATGCCAATAGGCTCTCTTCCTTCCACGCCAATAGTTCCCCTTCCTCCCACGCCAATAGCTTCTCTTCCCCCCACGCCAAACACAGCATCTCCTCCTCCCACGCCCTCTGCAAAGTGCTGACGGCCGACTTGGCGCCTCACTTTGATGGTCAGGCGTATCTGGCCATTGATGGAAGTCTCTAGCGGAGTGGGATTTTAGGAGGAGTGGAGGGCTGTTGTGAGAGTGGAGTGGTGTGGGAGTAGGATGTTGTGGGGGAGATGTACGGGTGTTGGAGGAGTGGGAGAGACGGACAGGTGTTGGAGGAGTGGAGGCCATGGAAGAGTGTTGCATCGCTGGGGGAGTGGAAAAGATGGAAGGGTGTTGGGTGAGGAGGTGGTGGTGTTGAAGGGAGTGGAGAGGATATTTGGAGAGGAGGGTGGGAGGATTTTTGAAGGTGAAGGAGAGTGGCGGAGTTTTGGAGGTATTGAAGGGATTGTGAGAAGAAGTAGAGGAGGCGGAGGAACGAAGAGGGTTAATGAGTGAGAGAAAAGAGTGAGGAGGTAGAAAAAGGGAGAGTGGAGAGGAGCGGGAGACAAATTCAATTTTTGTGGAGGCTGGAGGGAGTGAGGGGAGTACAGGAACACGGAAGGGATTTTTAGAGGAAGATGGAGGAATCGTAGAGGAGAGAGAGAGAGAGAAAGAGAGGGAGAGATTTTTGAAGGGGGAAGAGGATGATGGGGAGAGAAGTATGGAAGTCATGAGGAAAGAAGTACTAACAAGAAAAACAACAATAAGAAGTAGGAGGAAGAGAAAGAAAGGAAAGAATAGAATAATGAAGGTGATGAACTGAGAGAAATGTCCCGCAGTGTGCAGTCAGCCCTCACCCCCCCACTCCAGCGGTTGGTGTCTCCGTCCGTTATGTTTTGAAAGAAAGATGCAAGTATAATGTAACAACAATAATAGCAGGCGATACTATGGGGCACTGTACTCTCCTTGATGAAATGGACCCAGGCTGTTAGTCAAAAGTGGCCGGACACCTGAACAGGAGCTCTCACACGTGTGTACCCCCCCAACCCCTCCACCCCTCCACCCCCCCCCTCCCCCATCACCATTTCCACCACCACTTCCTACATCATCACCACCACCCTTCACCATCATCACCACTGCCACCTCCATCACCACCAAACTACCGACCCCATTGCCACCCTACTGCCATCAGCATCACCACCACTACCCACCACCACCACTACCACCACCATCAACATCACCACCACTACTACACCATCAGCATCACCACCACTGCCACCACCATCAACATCACCACCACTACTACTACATCAACATCACCTGCTGCACACCATCAGCATCACCACCACTGCCACCACCATCAGCATCACCACCGCTGCCACCACCATTAGCATCACCACCGCTGCCACCACCATCAGCATCACCACCACAACAACAACAACAACAACAACCGCCGCCGCCAAAATCATCACACTGTCACTCTAACATATTGCAACACCACACTACCGCACCACCGCAACACCACACTACCGCACCACCGCAACATCACACTACCGCACCAAACTGCACCACTGACAGAACTCCACTTCTGGTGTATGTGTTGTCTAGCATGTACACTTAGGCCAATACATATAAACCATACAATAAGCGTATACATGTGTCTGTAAATACATGGAATACACTGACACATATACACACCTAAAGTATACACATGTATCAGTGTATACATGTATATATTAACACGTATATACTTTAAGCGTATGTACCCGAGTCATTATATCTCCCTCGTGTTTGTTTACACTAATCTGCACACCTCAAGTAACCAATGGCGGCGCTCCACAGTACCTCTTTATAACTGTTACTTAGATAATAATATAGAAGTCACCAATATCTACCAGTCCCTCTCTTCTCACTCTTTGTCAGACGATGTGTTCCTAAGCTTCCTTCCTCTCTTCCTTTAGTTGTGTCCATGGTCAGTGTACCCGTGATGGTCAGTCCCATCATCACTTCCCCCACCACCTTTCCTTCAATGCACGAGGCAGTAGAGGTTTTCCCTTTTCGTGTCATCCTTACTCGGTGTTTAGTTTCCCTTTAGTCGAACCTCTTCATTATTTTCTTTCTTCACTCCTCATTTTTCTCGTATGGATTTTCTTGTTATCTGTAGTATGCGTCCCTAGCTGGAGTTACGCTATTGTCACCTCTTAAAGGCCCCTCAGTCATGTGTACCCCTCAAAGGGCAGTGCGTTATGCGTACCCCTCAGAGGGCACTGCGTCGTGTGTACCCCTCAGAGGGCACTGCGTCGTGTGTACCCCTCAGAGGGCACTGCGTCGTGTGTACCCCTCAGAGGGTTTTGCGTCATTTATACCCACTCCCCCGTCCATCACACTTAAAAGAAAAATCTTCCTCATAAACCATATAAATTATACTTCAGAAACTATTCCTCCTTTATAAATTTTAAGTATCCCGAGGCCGAGAAGTTTCTGGCCGCGTTCAGACATGTAAATGGCATTAGCCATGACATAAACCCTGAGATAAGGAGACGATAGATAGCTACAAAAATCTCCCTCATTCGTT